TTGCACACCCGGAGGGTGGCCTGAGGCCTCCCGTGTAGCAGGAGGGGGGGTTGGGGCAAGGCAGAGCCCAAGCAGCGTCTGAGGTGTTACCGCACAGTGTTTGCACTCGGGGTTCAGGTGGGTGCTTCTGCGAACCCCGCAAGAACAACTGTTTGGTTGTTAGAACAAGAGAGTGTAGATCAGATGTGCTTCCAGAGCTGTGCTTAAAGCATCCATCATTGCTTAAACTTTCTGAAGGGTTCCTGCTTTCCTTCTTGTTCTGTGTCAGGAGGCTCTATTTGGCCAACAGATTGGCTATGCACATAGAATGTGCTGATTAACATAGTCTTATTAAAATATTCTGCATCTTAGATGGAATAAAAGAGCACGAGTCTCAGCTGGTTTTCAAGTACGTTTAAAAGGCCTTGTCTTTGTTTCTAGGTTTGTTTGGAAGATATTGCCAGGGCTGAAAGTCATGGCTATCCAGACAGGCTGCTGCCCAAGGTCTTGCTGCGGAAAGCTGAATGTCTGCTGTGTTTGGGGAGATTACAGGATGCAGCAGACGCCCTCAGTGTGGTGGAGAATAAAATTGCTATGGATGGGATCATGACTAGTCCTACACACCAGGCACTGCTAAAAAAGTTAAGTCAACTGAAGATTAAAATACATGAGAAAGAGAGCTGGCCAGAGCCTGCACGAGAAGCATGTGGTGACATTCAAAGAAAGTCGGAGATCTGGGAAGAGAATGACAGTATTTCAGGTGCATCTTCATCTTTGAGCTTGAATTTTGATATAGAGAGAGGACGTCACTTGGTGGCCTCCCAGGACATCCTGCCAGGACAGAGCCTGTTGAAAGAGGAGGCCTTTGTGAGCGTGCTCTGCCCAGGGGAGAGCTTTCTTCTGCAGGACAGCAGTGAAACAGCGTGGGATACTCGAGTCACTAATGCAGATCTTTATTGCCACCGTTGTCTGAGGCAGCTTTTAGCCTCAGTGCCTTGCCGTGGGTGCAGTTATGCAAAGTACTGCAGCCAGAACTGTGCAGATGTGGCTTGGGAGCAGTACCACAGGACAGAGTGCTCCCTGGGAGCACTGCTTCTCACATTAGGTGTCTTCTGCCATGTTGCCTTGAGGACTGTCCTACTGGCGGGATTTGCAGAGGTTAGCAGGCTGGTGGAATGGTCCCACGGTGGTGACAAGGACCTTCATAACCCTGAGGCAAGATGCAAACATCTGAGTGAGGCACCAGATACAAGAGCTGGTACCAGAGGTATCCCTGGTTGTAACGACAATGGTCAGTACCAGAGTTCTTACCAGGCTGTGTTCAACCTTCTGCCACATGCTGAGAAGCATAGCCCTGAACATAAGTTCCTTTGCACGCTGAGTGTAGTAGCTATATGCAAACAACTGCAAGAAGCTGGCCTAGAGGCGGCTGTTTTGAATCAGGAATCATCCGAGAAGTGGTCCAGACCAAAGATATGTGAAAAAACATCGGATGAATTGTCTCCAGAGCTGAAGATTATGGCAGAAGCAATGCTGAGGCATGTGTTGCAGCTGCAGTGTAATGCACAAGCGATCACTGTAATGCAGGAGTCGGGTAAGATAAAAACTTTTAAGCCCTTCTCTGTTGTTCTTGCTCATCTAGCTTGAGTGAGGTGAAAAGATTGAATTATCAGTTGTAGAAAGCTCCCATTGCATGTGGGAATGACTTGCTTAAAATTTAATGGCCTGTCCCATGCTGGCCTGTTTTTTGGTGCACATGTAGAGGGTATTTAGCTATTATTTATTGCAGCAATATACCAGAGACCTTTCTACTGCTATCTGCAATTGGTCACAGTGCTCGTTGCATAAGTTGCATGGGTTACTGAGCATTCAGTCTCAACCTACTTGTTTTTCCTCTGTCTTTAGGGTCCAGAGATGGTGCTGTTGTAAATAAGAAGCCTGTGCGCCTGGCGACAGCCTTCTTTCCTGTCCTCAGCCTTCTGAACCATTCATGCTGTCCCAATATCAGCGTGTCATTTAGTGGGACAGCTGCCACTGTCAGGGCATCACAGCCAATCGCAAGTGGCCAAGAGATTTTCCATTGCTACGGTAAGTATTAACTCTCTGTTTGTCTCAGGGCACAGACATCCTTTCACCTCTGCTTGGCATGCTAACTGATGGCCGTTAATATCCTAATTCCCAGTATAATGTTGCTAGAGTCTTTGTTTATGTATAAGCCTTGATCAAATATATCAACGCAAGATTTTATCTCCTGAGCCCACTGTTACATTTTCAATCTCCAGTTATGTCCTCTCCAAAAGATGATATATCTAGTCTCAATTATAACAAAGATAGATTTAGTCTGATGTTAAGAACTGTACCTGTTTAGAGATTTCTACCCTTGCCATCCCTTTGCAGGGCCTCACCGATGTAGAATGAGGGTTGCTGAGAGACAACAGCTTCTCAGTCAATATTTCTTTGAGTGTCGCTGTCAGGCATGCCTTGATGAGTTAGAGTCTGATGTCAAGAGTGTGGTGTCCATGAGAAACTCATTCTGCTGTCCTAGCTGCCAGGCTCCAATACAGGTAGTTCTTCCATAGTTATGATTGTATAACTTATTGGGATATGTAACGTTTGGGTCTCTGGGAAAGTCAAGAGTTAAAGACCTCAGTCCGTGATCTCTGCTCAGAAGGCAAAAGCCCCTGTAGAGTCAAGACAGTATCTCACTGTTCTTAGCAGCTTTCTTGTAATGTTCTTGTATGTCAGTCTTCCAGCATTATAGGGAAAATAGTGCCTTTAACAGCAAGTTAAAATACCTTTGAACTTGATGAAGGAACTTTAGAATATCAGGGCTGTGGACTAGGGGAAGGGGGATATTTAGGAAAGAAAATGGAGGCCTCGAGTCTAGACAGAAGTTGTACATGCAGGGGCTGTATGTAGAGAGAGTCACACTCTCTGCAGTTCACAGGGTGTGAATGAAAACAGCACGTAGTGCGCGTTAGATGGGAAGAAGTCAACATAGTATGTGTTTTGTATGAACGTTAGTTGTGTACCGCATGACCCTGCTTTGGCCTAATCTATCGCTCACACAGTCAGCTGTTCCTGGAAGTTTCTCATAAAATCAAATAGGCTAAGAGCAATTTACAAGCAAGTCACTTTGTTTAATGAATGCAACTGAGATACAATTTAGCATCTTTACAACACAATACAGAGATAATATCACAGGGATGATTTCCACAGGGGGAAGACATGCTTTGTTGTTCAAATGAAGCTTGTGCAGTCTCAGTCAGCAGAGAGAGCCTGTCACACCGTTTACGGGACCTTCAGCAACAAATCAAGAAAGCATTAGAACTGCTAAGAGACAGGAAGGCTGGTAAGGCTCAGCTTTCTACTTTAAGGTCAGCAGCTAATGAGTACACATCGGGAGATGTAGTTCTAGCCATGAGATGGCACTGTTGCTTATGCAGTTGGGGTCTTCTGGCATGCAGCCTGGTGTCCCTGGGGACTTGAGCTTTAGGGGTTTTTTATACCCCTGATCCAGGTGTTAATCTAAGTCACACGTTGTTCCACAGTAACTAAAAGAACTCAGGGTAACATTGGAATTATGCATTCCCAGGCCTTGCTTTCCTGGAGTGAGTCGGGCCAACACTGCGTTAGAATAAGCAGGGTTGCAGATGAAGTCAATGTTGAATCCTAACCAAATCCAAATCTATCT